TGTCATCTGTATTGGCTTTAGGTTAATTGATTTTGTTTCCCCATCTTTATTATTATTTCTGTTATAATCTCATATGACAATCCTAGCATGTGCATTAACAGAACAACTGCAAAATAACCATTAATCACCTTTGTGCTTTCAAGCCTTTGTGGTATTTCAGGGAGTTAAAGGAGAATCACAGTTTTAATTGAGCTGCTGAGACAATAAAGCATTTTAATTACTTTATAGAATTGAAGTCAGAGGCTACTACAAATTAGGCTAAAGGCTTTTGCTGAGCAGAAAATCCAGCAGTAATGATTCTAACTTTCATTAGGACTATGTGAGATCTTGCTGCATATACAATATAACTAATAACATGATATAGAATAGAATAGAATAGAATTACTTTATTGATCCCAAACAGGGAAATTGTGGCGTTACAGCAGCAGGTTGTTCAAACACACAATATGAGCAAAGAACACAATGTTAGTAAATTTAAACATAACATAATATTAAATACAAAGTAAATAAGCACTAAAAATATCAAAACTAAGAATGGGAATATATAGAACCAGGATTTAACTTAGCATAACTAGTCTTAAATATGAAAGATTAAATGTAAATGTGCAAAAACAGAGTTGTAAATGGACAGTATTTGACATAGGGAGCTGTCCAGAGCTGTGCAATCAGTGATACATAAATGAAAGTGCATGAGTGTAGACATGTTATCAGCAGAAACTTCTCAATATAACGGCGAGTAGACAGCCAAATGAAGTGAACTTGAGTGCAGGGATAATTTGCAAATTTAACATGTGCCATATATGTATATACATGCATACATGCATACATACATGTGTCCATATAGCCTACTAAAACCTGTATATGTGCATCAGAAGTGAGGGGATTTCCCCCTTCTATAACTCACTTTGTCATCTTATGAACAATCTGTCCTATAAACATGAATATTGAGCTCCAGTAAGATAAAACATCTTGTCCATGCTGCCAGTTCTCATGCATTTGGTGACTTTTTGTCACCAAAAACCTTAAATTGTTGTTCTAGTGGATACTCTTCAGACAAATTATAGCATCAGATGATGGGGAAGTAACAATAAGGGTCGTACGTCTCAAAAGTGAGCGGGGCTGGATGAAAAGGAAGAGAAAGATGGAGTACAAGTGGACAATGTCTGTATGCAATGAGTACAGAAGCTCTTAAAAAACTTTAGAGAAACTCCTATCGACCATGCCATCAATCAAGGTTTGTTCTGGTATATCCAGCTGAAGAGAGAGTCCACTCTAATGTGAGCTCATTGACAAGTGGCTTCCATTATTCATTCGTTCAGGACCGATACTGTGTTGGCAGCAGATTTGTAGAGCAGCCATCATTAAGACTGGCTGGTGGGCGGGATTTAGGATTAGAATGACTGTAAGTGCCTTTTACTCGACTCGCATAACAAATGTGATCAGTATTAACCATTCATACATTCATTTATTCTGAACAGTGGAAACACAAATTTAAAAAATCCACTTTGCTGCTCTTTTGTCTTAATGTCTCAGTGCCATTGACTGGCATTGTTGTTTCATGAATAAGTACTAAATGTCTACTAACAATTATAATCCATGTAACGTTAGATCTGTAAATAGTAGAGTAGTTAAATGTGTATGTGTCACGCTTGTTGTCTGTTTAAGGAGAACATCTATTTCTGTGTCTGCACACTCACTGCAGTAAGAACTGGAGTCAAATTCCTTGAATGTGTACACATACCTGACCTGTAAAGCAGGTTCTGTTTCTAATTTTGGATGCAGAACGAACTATGGACTTTACTCTTGTTTAAACACAAAAAAGGAGAATAAAATCATAAAAGCCCCTGATCATCCGTAGCAAATTAATCCAGACTAAAATATACAACAAGCTGGATTTTCGACAAAAACTGAGTGCTGTTTTATTCTTTGCATGGAGTTCAAACAATAAAAACACACATACCTTTAATTAAAAATACACAGTCCAATTTCTAAATGGACAAAAACCTAGAACTTTGTGAATGTGGTCACGTTCAATCTGTGAAGAAATAATTAAGAACTAGCTCTGACATTAATAAACGACATGGAAATTGTGTTTCCATTTTTAATTGATTGAATGAAAGTAAAATGACCCCCGTCCTGCTGTGGTAATTAGCTTTTAAATAGCTCATACATAAAATCTACTGCTCTCACAAAAAGACTAATGTCTCCGGGCGCATGCTTTCTAGCACAGATGTAAAAGTTGGCCTTTAATTTGTATTTTATTGGCTACATGTAGCCAGCGACATGATTCAGGGAATCATAAAAGTTGATCTGCAGGTTCAGTTAAAGGAGAAAGAGAGTAATGCAGACAGTAGCAGAATGTGTAATGCAAGGAAGAATTTGATTCTAAAGCAAAAGAGAGAGGATGTGTAAGTCCAGTCAGAAATGTAATGGACCAGACTGTTGCAGGTAGCGAACGCAAGTGGCTAAATGTTTCACCCAGACGTTATGCAGCCCACTCCTAGGAGAATTTCCATGTGATGTCGGGGTAAGCCGGTGTGTGAACGCAGCAGGAAATATGAGTGAGCTGACAGGGTGATGATGTTTATACCACACAACAATCCCTGTGCATGTTTTGAAACTGCTTCATACTATTTCTTGCTCCCCAATATGTTATTTTCCCACTTGTTTGTCGATACTGTGAATACTTGGAATTACATGAAGCATTGATAAAAAAAAGGCACAAAACTATCATCACAGTGTAGGGCTCTGTCGCTTTGTCCACCATCTTGGATTTCCGCAGTGCCTTTGAAACGTCATGTGCTGTCTCCTAAGACCCCTCCCTCCCAGTCCGACAGCTATGAGTGACATGTTATTAAGCAGCTTCATGAGATTTCAATGGGCTTTTCCTGAAATGTTCTATGAATTTTTAGGAGTGCGTGTGTGAGAAATAAAACAGCTTATATCACCTGGTTTTTCAATCACCTTTATCCCATCAGAAATCAAGAGCTGAGAAAATCTAATCTCATTCATTGAATCCAAATAAATATAATGGTTCCTTTTTGTTATCAGTGTATTCAACTTGTTACACTGACAGACTCACTATGGATTCAGTAATATGTTTATGCCGTGGTCACAGTTCAATTAAATATTTAGTTATCAAAGATTCTTTAATTCAGGATGGCTTAATGCAGACCTGCTTCTGTAGTACATATTCATCTAAACAACCGAATAAGCCATGTTAGTGTTCGGAGAGAGAGAGAGAGAGAGAATGATTGAGTTAAAACCACAGTTTCCATAATCATAGTAGCAGCTGTTTACTAAGCCAGCTCCTCAACTTTGTCCATTTTTACTCTACTCTGTAGGCCCTCCTAAGAAAGGTTAAATATTATACGTGTTTAGCTACTGCCCCCTAGTGGTCAGAGATCCTCCCTGCTTGTACGACAGCATAGAAATAAATGTCATTTTTCGCTCACAGATGTGTTTTGTTTTCTCAATGTTCAAAATGCAAATAAAAAGCTTCTCTCTCTCCTTCTCTCCCTCTCTCCCTCTCTCTCTCCTTCTCTCTCAGGCAAGTGCAATAGTCAATCAAACTGTCCTGACATTACACATCAGCTTTACATATAGACTACTTGTATAAATACACTTTGCAAGGAATAGTGCAGAAACAACTGTCCAGTCCACACCTTTATAAAAGTATTCAACGAATGCATTCATTATTGTGTGAACATGTGTCTGATAAATACTAAAGGAGATTTGAAAATGACAAAAAAAAGGAAAAAAAAGACTAGATTAGAATCATAATGTTCTGCAAAAAAAAAATATATATATATATATTGTGAATAAAAACTGACCAGAATGCAGGACAGTAAATTTAAGCTGCTTAAAATTGTTTCTGGAAGGCCCTCCAGAACCCCTTTATCTGATGGTGTTGTGTATTAAACAGCAAATAGTGGTGATTTCACTTTTTACAATTCTACAATTCATTTAGCAGACGCTTTTATCCAAAACAACGTACATCAGAGAGTAAGTAAAACACAAGCAATGCATGGATGCTCTGTTCGGATCACCACCCACAGTTCAGGTCGTGTGTGATCCACAGATCGTTCACTTTACAAATAGGAAGTCAATATGTGTGAGTTTGTGACGGTTGGGTGTTTGACTTGGGTTGCATTTGAAGGTTTTGTTTGGCCATGAATTATTTATTCCCGATATGCCTTGAAAACAATACATTGAGAGAAAAAAACTCACTATTTTCTAAACCCTGGTAACGGCCCTGTGTGTACATTTGCTTCCTGTAGCTACACTGCAGTCTACCTGACAATATTACATAATGCTCAGTGTTTGGCACCTTCCCGTCCAACAGGTATCAAGCCAACTATGTGAGCTTCACCCTCGTGAAATCTCGCGTGAAATCTTGTCATTGTCTCGGGGAAATACAACAGCTCCCCATCCAGAGTCACCCAAATCAACACTAAACATCACAATAGAGGCAGAGGAAAAGTCTCTGCAGACACCGTCACCACCACACATGTATGGAGGCCCATAAGTGATGATTGAGTGTCATTACTTTTGTGAGCAACTATTTCTATTTTTTAAGAAAAAGCTACTGACTCTGCCTTTAATGGTCAATCATTGTAAACAGAGGCTTCAAAATGTAAATTCTGCAGCAAATAAGTCACCACCTCTTCAGCTTGAATATCAAGTATCATTTATCAGCTTCTGAAGTGTGGTCCTCTTGGTGTCCTGAAGCTTCTCCTCCTCTTGGCTTTCTCTGTGAATTCCTCTGAAGGACTCCATTTCCTCCTTATTTGCTGTCATCCCTGCATCATTTGTAACCTTCAGTGTACCATCATGACTCTAACATAGAATTCATACTTGATCATAAAATATAATCATTTTAAAAGACGTATGGGCAGAAAAAAAAGCGACCCTGGAAGAAAACAAAAAGGTCCATGTAGGGGGGGGTGTCCTTGTTGGAGTCAGGGACAGGAACACAACTTCCTCTGCAGCAGCAACAATCTGACTGAAAGCACTCGGACTGTCGCGGTCAGTTCACCATGGACAGGGCAGCTGTGGTGACGAGCCACAGGACTCCTACACTACCTGAATGCAGCATCTCCACCTCCACTTTGGCCTTTGACCGGCACTTCACCACCACTGCAAAAGGACTACTCCTCATGGCCGAGATAGTGAGTGTGAATTTACACATTTGGGTTTTCAATGTGCAACGACATGAATGTTCAGCAGCTCAGAAATATCAAGATCAAAGCAGAGCCAATGACAACAAATACAAATACTTTGTATGTTTATCAAAGACGTCATGAAGAGAAGAAGTATCCTGCAGATATTTAAGTTATGTGAACACGTCCTCAGCAGGTGAGGCAGGTACGGACACACCTAGAGACGTCTTCTGTTTACTTTCTATTCTAATGTGACACACTCGGTCAACCTGTGTGAGAAAACTGTTTAAAGAATCACTTTATTTTTCTGAAATTCAAAAGAGAAATTAGAGTTTAAATAGATGTCACTTGTTAAAAGAGCTCGAGGAACACCAAAGGAAAGGAAGAAAACTGTTTTTCTATGAAAATAGGAAGTTAACCCAAAACACAAAGAAAATCAATTCTTCTCCCTTTCTCTCGCTCATTGTGTCTCTTCCTTTCTGAATCAGCTGAAGGAAAAGTCAGGACAGCCTTTCTGTAAATACAGTCTGGCTGTCTGCCATGCAGAGGCTGTGCAGGCCTTAGTGAAGGAGAGCTGACTGCAACGATTGCTACAGGATTAAAAGTAGTAGCATTTTATTAAATACTAAATGTTTAACTGTGATTTCAGGAATTTGTATTAAAAAAAATGAATTATTCCATTAATCAGCATTATTTCAATAAAAACCTGATGAGAGAAGAATGAAAGCCTCAGCCTGAAAAACACATTTTGCTGCAAATGTTTGCAAATAGTTGTTTAAAATGTGCAACCCAAAATAAAAATAAAGTTACTGTTAGTCATGTTTCATGTTTTCAGAATGTGATCAGAAACATCGTGCAGAAATCTTTTTCTGTGAAACAGGAAGGGTGGGTGTTGGTTTGCGCTGGCAGGAAAGCAAAAGAGTTTCTCAACACAACATTTTGATGAGGAGATGATTGGTTTTGTTGGTAAGAATAACCCATGAATAGAAAAGTAATTGCGCAGCATGTTTTTAAAAACAAATCGACAAGACACACAATTTGTCAGTATGATCTTTTGTTGAATGATTCTCAATTAGATTAAATTACTCTTAAAGTGTTTCTTAAGCAGTTTTGGCAGAGTCCCCTCTTCTTCTTTTGTTTTTCTTTCTTCAACTTCTCTTCTCTTTTTATCATCTTTCAGTCAGAAGTAGACCAAGAAGTGTGGTTATGTGATGAACTCCCCCCCCCCCCCCTGCAGGTGTTTGGTATGTTGGTGTGGATTCTGGTCGGGGGCACAGACTATTTTCGGCTGTCTGCGCTCTGCTGGGTGATGTTTGTTGCAGTACTGTTCTGGGTTCTGACTGTTGGTCTGTTTGTTATTTACCTCACTGGAGTCCATCACAGGATACCACAAGTCCCCTGGACTACACTGGTAATACACACACACATACACACAAACACCACACACACAAAGGAAGTGTGGTTTACTCATTTAGCAAAAAAACTGTTTTGTTCTTTGATATTGCTTGAATGCTATGTCTCTATATTTGGATATTTTTGTTGTTGGTGTCTCTCTCTCTTTTAGTCTCTCTGTTTGAACTGCAGTGCCACAGTTCTGTATCTGGTGACAGCAGTAGTGGATGCTCTTTCAGTCAACCAGGCCATTAGGGGACGACACAACTACAACTGCTGGGCAACATCTGCAGTAAGATATGAACTGTTGAGGAAATGCTTCATTTCATTATATATGTTTAATAATAAAAAAACAGTCTATCTTTTTTCACATCCTAATTTGTCCTTGTTTTCCACCTTTCAGTTCTTTGCATGTCTGACAACAGTGTGCTACACAGGAAGCACTTACCTGAGTTACTATTCCTGGAAACTGACAGAGGAGGGACAATTATCTCATCACTAGCTGGTTGAAGACAACATTCTGGAGACTTTTCCTGAGGAATATGTTATGGAGATCTACCTTCAGACCAGGAGAAGGCTTTAGCCAAATGAAACACTTGAAAAGAAACTACAGTGCATGTCAATGATGTTATCTTTTTTTTACACGTCATATTTTAGGGGTCAGAAAAAGAAGACATCGTCTCTCTACAAGATGTGGTGGACTCTGTAACTCTGTCCAGTAAAGTTGAGAAAGTTATAAGCATGAAGGACACTAGTCAATTGAAAAGTCTGTCAAATCAGACAGAGCTTTACTCTAAAGACAAATGTGTCAAAAAAACACATCATGTGTTGAGTTTCAACACATCTGAGAGTTGAATTTATCACAACACTTTTTGTGTAAGTCTTTACACAATCCCTGTGTTAGCTTATTGTGTTGTCCCAAAAGTACACGCTGATGTGTTAAAAATGTGTTCTTTTCTATTTATACTGAAAAGCATCCTGAAATTCAAAATCGTTTGCTTAAATTCAGCTTAACTGCTCACAAAATAAATAAGCCTTTGTATCAAATGTAGTTTACTTTTATTCAAATGAAACAATTTTTCATCTAATAGAGTTCAAATGCAGATATAAACATACAGTATTCACTCATTAATTGTCCAAACCAATGGGGCATATGAAAATACAACATTCTCTTCTTATGTCTATCTGTACATATCATGCAGTAACACTAATAAACTGTGATCTTTCAGTGGGAACCAACAAGTCCAAGATACAACATGATGTCTTAAGTTAGGTCAGACAACTCACGTTTGTATTTATTTAACATAATTAGAACATAGTTTGTGTTTGGCATCAAGGCTCCGACCTCATCGCTCCTTGCAGTTTGATTTTACATGTAGAGATTTGAGGAGTTATGGGATGATATCTTAAACCCCCAGTCGGAGCCTACAGATGGATGCTGGGGTGGTGGTGGGGCTGAGCAAGCATTCAGTACTAGTGCAGGTCTGAGAGTGAAAGAGCAGAGGGAGAGAAATATTGCAGCTTAACTAGCCAGAGTTGTTTTCAGGTGATTGTGGATAATGACACATGTAATAGGTGAAATCAATGCAGCTTGAGTTGTATGCCTGAACTAGCTCGCAGCGGTCGCATCGTCTGTTTTCTATACAGAATGAGGTGAATGTATCAATTCAATACAATACAACACTCAGGATCTTTTCATTTCATATTAACCAGAATGCACATTTTGAACACACTTGGCTCACAAGAGTCAGTAAATGTAATGCCATAAGTGTAACTTACGACCCCCCTACTGCGGAATCTCCATGCACGACCTGACCCAAACGTGCTTCATCCTCTAAACGTGTTTTTTTTTCAAAAAGTGGCTCAAAGATAGCTGTTTAGCCATAGTTCTAAATTTCCATCTGGCTGCTAGGTAAAGGGGAACGAAACCGCCAGTGGCAAATGTGATGTTGTGTGATAACGTCAGTCGTGCGTGAGAAAAGCTACTATACATATTTACAATTCTAAATTTCCTTAAGAAAAGGAAGATTAAACATGAAATGAAACTACATGTTTTTTAATTCATTCAATCATTCAATTATTCATAATATGGTCATGATCCTGATTGGGTGGGCCACTTGTCCATCTGGGTGGGCCTGTTGACATCCAGGCCCATAGATCCCCGCCCCAGGCGTAAGCTATTTTTCTTTCTTTATATAATTTACATTTTCTGAATTAGCCATATATTTAGCAGCTGTTGAATCAAAGCACTTCAAAGCGAGAGATCATCAGCATACATAAGATGTTTTTAGGATGTTATAAATCATAATGCACTAGCTGACATACTATTACAATAAGATTGTTATCATGCCGCTGAACACGCCCTTTGACCCAATTTCTGTCAGAACTTTATTTCTTAAAGACACACAAACATGAACCAAGCTTAACCTAAATTCATTTTATGTTCTAAAGGTTTATTTGGGGGCTTTTTATTCCTTTATTTAGAGATAACAGTGGATAGACTCCAGAGAGTGTGGGAAAGGAGCCACAGGTTGTACCTGAACCCAGGCCATCCGTTTGGTGGACTGTTGCCTCCGTGCATGGGGCGTGCGCATTTACCACTACTGGCAACCACCTTAACCTATATTTCTGTGGTAACAACTGATAAAGAAAAAAAAAAGATTTAACAAGGCTCACTTCTTCTTAACCTACTGGTTGTGACTACCAGCAAATCATTGTTGGCATTTTGCCCATTTAATAGGGATTCCTCTTAACCCAGTTTTCTAAGGTAATGTTGCCCTCAAACTAACTTACACAATAGTCTTGAGAAGCTCTGTAGTGCCTGGTAGCAATATTTCCTGCTGTTCAGGGCTTTCTCTCAAAATTTTTAAGAAACAGCTTTTTGCAACAGTATGCTTCAATTACTTATTGAGACAATAAAAAAATATACACTTGTTTCAAGCATTATTTAGCTTTTTGCAATACCTGCAATACTACCTATTAAACTTAGATTCTCACAATAAGTGCGATCTATTGGCCTCAAAACAGCTTGCACATCACAGTGATGTCTCCTAGGCAAACACATTCTAATGAAATTAAACATTTGTGAATAAAAGAAAATTAATAAGATGAAATCGAGTCAAGCGTAAAAAAATCCTTCCAACTGTGCCAAACCAAAAGGTTGGTCTGAGGGTGTGCCTAGAGCCAGCAACTATTCTAGCCAGCCTTTTGTAAGCCAGTGGTGCAGCATTATTACAGGATTACTCTGAAGCTAGGACAAAGACCAGCTGTTATGTAAGAATTGTGGTGAAGCACTTCTCATGTGCAGTGTTCCCCAGCTAAAAACATAAAGCTACCAGTCTGTTTACCACTGAATAAATGTCTTATCTTTTTAATCTTTCAATTACTACTGGAGTTGTCCCTCAGGTCTGGAAGTCAGCACACATCATCCCTCTGCATAAGGGCGGCGACAAAAACAAACTCAACAACTACCAGCAGATTTCCAAACTGTCCAGCCTCTCTAAAATCCTGGAGTCATTGGACCATAATCAACTAAAATAATTCCTTTCAATAAATTCTGTATAAAGTCCTCACCAGTCTGGTTTCAGAGAAAAACACAGCACCATATCAGCAATTACCTAAGTCATAAATAATATTGTATCTGCTGTTGATCAAGGGAAATACTGTGCTTCCCTCTTCGTTGATTTAACCAAAGCTTTTGACACTGTTGATCACACCATACTCCTGCAGAGGCTAAATTATGTTGGTTTTGACTCCTCATGTACCGGTAATTGGTTTCAGAGTTATCTGTCCAATAGATTGCAATGTGTGACTGTACAATCTGATCATTCTGAATACTTACCGCTATCAAAAGGGGTTCTACAAGGTTCTGTGTTAGGTCCCGTGCTGTTCACAATCTACATTAAAGGGAGACTTCACCCATTTGCATTAAGCATTGTGTCAGTAGTAAACTGGTAGTATTTTTGAATGGTCGTGCTTCCAGCCCTCATTTCCCCCTGAGACTGAAAAGGAGCTTCCAGTGACGCAAATATCGTCATATTGCGTCACTGGAAGCTGTTGCCGTTAGCGGTGTGAAACTACAACTCTAGTTCCTCATATTTTGAACCACTGAAGCTACAGATCTATCACAGATCAGTGGGTGGGAACTCACTCCCAGAATCGAAACTTAACGTCCGCCATATTGCTTCGAAGCTATGCTAACAGGCTCTATGGAGAAAGCTGATAATGGCGAAAAAATATAAATATAGCGACAAGACGGATGCTTCCGACAGGCCGGTCTTGTGTTTTGGCTGCTGCGGCCGCTGGCCCCGGCGCGACACAAGATGGCCTGTCAGCAGTAACCGTCTCGCCGCTATATTGCTATATTGTTATATTGCTGAATGCTGCCAGCCCCTGCCAGCTCAGCAGCTGAGACATAAGGCCTGCCTGTCGGCGGCGGTGACAGAATGCTGAAAGTCCTGTGGTTGGTGTTGGAGATAACCACACCGCTGTGATTGGCAACCACTGGCCTGCTGCCTGGACTGCCATTATGAAACTATGACCGCCCTGTGTAGGTCGCAGAGTACACGTTGCAGTTTTGGAAATAGTCCAAAGCCAAGACTGGATAAAGAGATGAAAACCCAAGAATAGAAATACATCTTTTGTTTGTTTTAGCAGTGGAATGTGATCTTCCAACCTGTGTCATGCTGTTGCATGGGGATAAACAAGATAAATCAGGTGAGATTACTTCAGCACCAGTTGTTTTAGAGTACAATCATGTGCTGCAAATACATTAGCGTTGTTCACCAGTGCTTCGCTTTAAAAGAATAGATAATAAGTGAAATGTTCCAAGAATAAAGAGTTATTCTTTCAGATATTTAAATTCAATATTTCTACCTTTCATGCCCCATGTTTCTTTTTAATCTGGTCCCACCTTTTATCCTTTTCTTTTCCCTTGTGTTCTTTAACAAACCGTTGCCTGCAAGTAAACTGAGCTTCTGTTCCACAAAAAGCACCAAGAGGTGAAAAGATTAAATACAAATATAACCGTAAATACAACAGATTTTAATGTATTTGTTGCTCATTTTTAGTCAGAACTTAAATATTCTTACAATGACAAAAATGTTTAGGCTTGTTGGTTGATTTTTTTGTTGTTGTGTCATACTGGAACAAGAAGGCCATTTGTCAAAATAAATCTGCACCAAGTAACCACAAGTTGACCATCAAAATGTTCTATTTGGCACATATTTTCCCTTTTTTATTGAACATATAAAGCAGTTACTTCTGTTTCAATTTTATTGAATCCTATGGTCACAACAGAAACAAAATTCAATATTATACCTTTTGTTATGTACAACAAAAGGTATGGCTCAGCGAAAAATAATGTACATAAAATAACACATAAGGAAAATATTTATTTTTACATTCTTCTGTTTTTAATCAAGTGCAGTAAATCACTCTTTCCTCCCCTCATGGCTGCAGGTGCGCAAAAATCTTAAATTATTGTTTTTTAACTTAAAGCACAAGAATCGCTATAAAAACATGATTTGTACATCCTTCGTGTTAAACTGCACCTCAAAAAATCACAATGCCTTGTGTTTTATGTACAGTATAAACCAACGATTGACCCTTTTTCCGTCTTAATGAAGAAGTAGGCAACACTATTCCCATTTGTTAATACATGTCCCAGTTATCATACTGCTTACATAATACAACATATAGCTTTATAGTTACAGTTCATGCTCACAAAGCACAGTTAAAATCATGCATTAGGTTCTAGCGTCTTCTACTTCCTCTGTACTGATTCGTGATGACCTCTCCCCAGTGGGCTCCCAGTGAAGTTATCCCAGAACTAGTGTAGCGGCCGCTCAGCAGACGAAGCCCTGCCTTACTGTCAGTCGGGTAGAAGTGAAAGGAGAACTAAAACACAGTAGAAAAATGTCATGTTTGGTTATTAGCATTAACATTAATCATAGTAACCAAAATAAGAGAGAAAAAAAAAGTTTGAATACCCCTGTTGGAGAGCCTGCAGAAAAGAAACGGCCTCTGGAAGTCACAAAAACCAGCTGAAAGATGAAGTTGCTGTGTTTGCCAGAGACCTGGAACAAAGCAGTGTAAGCAGATTAACTCAGGTGTTACATGTGCTTTGTCCTCAAAATGTAAATAAATGATGTACTTTGTACATAACGATGGAGGAACAGTACAAAACAGATTATCCATTCCACTCATTTAAAAAAAAATGTGACAGCTGCTAATAATTTCAGAACCTTTACAAAAAAAACCTGTTTATATAAAAAAAAAAACGATGATAATAAATAATGTCTAAATGTTAATGAATATTAAACTACATATTTCCAATGGTTAGAGTAATACATGTCATTGACTTTCAAAATTTACGCACACAAAAATAAATGTAATAGTAGAAAAATCAGACAAAATTAAACTATAGAGCTTAAATATCAATCAAATCTCTCACCTGAATAATGGTCTCATCATCATAAAGTTGCATCTCTTGTAAATTTCCTCCCGCTTTTCCAATCCTTTCAGACCAAATGTAGTCATAGCACAGCTGGAGACTTCAGGCCAATAAAAACAAGACAGAAAACGTCAGCATCAGTCATCATGTGCAGAGAAAGCACTGATCAGAAGCAGTAAGAGACAGCATAAAAACGACTCTGTTTTAATGGTTAGCTGAATCGCTAAGCGCAAGCAGAGGACAAAATTGTCCTTGTCTCAAATCTCGAGTTACAGTGTTGTGTTAGCAGCTAATTGTTGCTCTCTTTAGTTTGCTCGTAGCTTCAGATTGCATGTACATTTACATGGAATTACCATGATGTAAAAACACTTCCTTGACATTTAAATAAGCAGTAAGTACAGTATGTTCTTTTTTCTCTAGTCCCTCACTTACAGTAAACAGCATGTAAACATGTAAACACGATATAAATTCTACTCAGACAACATCACTGACAGAAGGGCTTGTGCGTCACACTCATTGTAGACCGTCATGACTCAGACAGATATTTACAGAGGATATTCTTGATTTCTGCTATATTCATTTGTAAATGTTGCACATTCTGCCTTTAACTGTTAACTGCAGAAACAAAAAAGCTGAGCTGCTGTGCCAAACACAGAAGAAGGAAAAGGCTTGAATCCCTAAACTGTAATTGTTACATGGCTGAATGTTTTTTTGCTGCACATTTTTACGAGTCAGTATCTGATGTAGACCTTTTCTTACAATGACAAAACATTTCTGCTTTTGTGTCGTTTGATGTTATTATGTTTAAGGATGCACGTACGGTCATCTTAAGCAAAGTGGCACATCCTCTTTAAATATGAAAAAATTGTTAAATTCAAAATTAATTTCACAACAGTAACTGAAATGAATATCAGATCATTTAACAACCATAGAAAAACCCTTATAGCACAAATATGTGGAAAGAAAAGAGTAAGCATTGCTTCTAAATATTTCAGACCAGAATGCCCTCTTTGTAAGATTTATACTGCAGATACATGTAACACAAACTGTTATCCTAACCTGGTGACAAATGAGTTGGGTCTCTCCCAGACTCTGATGGCCGTTATCCTCCCATTCCCCTCTGTGGCATACGAAATGCCGCCACCATTACCAACAGAAGCAGAGTAGGAGAAGCCTATCGTAGAAGCTGGAGAGGTAAAGAGAAATGGTTATTATGTTAACGAAAAGACAATATTATTGTTTGTTGAATGAACTTGACTTTCAATTTATGCAAGACAAAGCCCAACTAATATTAAAGGATGTGTTGAATTCTTACCACTTGCCAGGCTGCTAGTGCAGATCAAAGTGAAGGATAGGAAGAAAAACATTTTTTCTGAGGGAATCCAGAGACAAACAGTGAGTAAGAAAACAAATCTTACAACTCCATCATAAAAACCAGAATGCTAAATATAGCTTTCTACATGTTTTTCTACCTGTGACTAACTAGATATTTGGTCGTTAGAAATAACTCAAAAATCTTCAGATATGAACTGAAATCAGTGAATACCATATACAAATCCTTTGAGTGTCTAGCTACATATTAATACTAATAAATTATTTAATACAGACTCAAATGTTCAACTCACCTGAACTCCTAAAACCAGTGTTGAGTCGACACTGAGGTAGTGATATGAAGATGCTTGTATTTAAATAAAATCCTGCCCTCCCTGAGCTAAGACTCACACACGCCCTAACCCTTACCTGTCAAGGTGATGTGTTCTGACAGCTGAACAAAAGCACACCCATTTCTTTTTTTATTTGTACTCTGCCTTTGTTCTAAATAAATAAAACCAGCAAGAGAAAAACATTGAAGTTTGTCACTCGGTTGTGAAAAACATTTTTGATAATACAGTCATATCTGTCTCATTTGTGCTGTATTAGCTTATCAACCTCATCTCTCATAAATCTATGTCTTACAAACTGTTTAATAGTCTGATTCATCAAATTTTTCCAGTGGGAAATGCATGTTTGCTTGATGAAGGTCTCGTTCTAAGATGTTGCCTATACATGTATTTTTAAAGTTGGTTGTCTGTAGGGGTTTGCTTGTAAATGTGTAACATTTGGATTCACTTTGGGTTATTACATGTTTTTGGAAAGGTGCTTGGAAAGATAATTTACTCTCATGGTTCATTTTGTTGTACCAGAGCTTTGATCATGACCATAAAAGGAACACAGAGCTTGTTAAGTTGTCGATGTTTGTTTGTCTGTTTATTTTAAAATTTAAGTAATTCTTGTTGATTTCAAACAATTGTTTCTGACCAGCATGGAAAAGGAAGTCTTTAAACTCTACATGTTTAGAGAAGGATTAAAATTGAAACTTCCTGATATGCTGTGAATGTCCTGAAAACATAACGTCTGATAAGTCAAACATTCACTGTGAACCTTTGCTGTGGAAAACGACATCACAGTCTCTGCTGAGAAATCGTCAACAATGAAATGATTAATCTTGTCTGCTTTCTTGGTCACAAAGAAATATAAATATTGAATTCTGTCTGCTTCATAACCAAACACTCCTCATAATAACTAAATAGTTGAAATGTCCAAATGCTGTCAAAGTGTCAAAGTCCAAAATTTCACTCCTGAATATTTTTTTAAATGTTCTATCGCTAAATGTTTCAGGCGGTCTTGGTCATTGGATATTTAAATCAATTATTACAATTTCAGAAGTATAAAAGTTTTTCGAAACAGAAATGAATCTGTTAAGTGAAAATAGTACTTAAGGTTAAGTTTGACATTGATGGTTTCATTCTAGGTCATATCTACTGCTACTCTTGATCAAGATCATATATATATATATATATATATATATAACTTTTTTTTTTTACTTTGCCTTTGCCGGTAGTGGTCATACGCTTGGCAACTGCTGACCCAACAAAAATTTAGAAAAACGTGCAGCATATTCAGAAATGCTGCACAACAGCACAGCAGTCAATAAAAGACCTGTCCGGTCCCATGTGTGAGATTTTAATAATTCATTAATAGATACATTTAATGTGTGTAAATACGATTCTCTTTAAGGCTATCAACGTTTGGAGAAACAGCAGATAAAACTGAAATCTGTTATCAATATTTGTCATACTCTCTCTGTTTTTTTTAAAGGAGAGAGAAGTAATAGACATATTTTGAGCTTAGTCTTGCTTGGTTTGTAAGTTTGTAGCTTTATAGTATGATTTAAAACAGTGCAAGGAAGTTTTGTTTGACTTCGGGGAGGACCGTGGTGAGGTGCGGGGCTTGGCTCCAGGCATACTGGGGCTGCTCTCACCACTCAAGTCTCTACAGATGGATGCTCATGGATGCGGGAGAGAGACGGATAAACACCACCGGAGCTATGCCCCACTGTCTGTTGTGCAAAAACACGACTTTATAACATGTACCAAATACCACACAAATTGAGAAACGAGGTCTGGTTGATAGGTAGCTCTGTGAAGACTTTTTTTATTTTTTTTATTTTAGATGAGAAGTAATGTTAAGTTAAGCCTGGATGTATATATTTATAATTTTTTTTGATTATTGACTTTGTATTTATTATTATATTGTTTTATTTGCTCTGTTAACCTGCTGCTGTAACACCACAATTTCCCATTTTGGGATCAATAAAGTAAATCTATCTATCTATCTAAACTGTAACAAAGAGACGAACAGTGAAGTTTAACCTGGACTAAATCAGTGGGGATGGCGAAAGCACGATGGGTGTAGAGGATGTGTTGGAGCTGGAGCTCATTAGCCCCGGAGCTAGCACTAGCTCCAGGCATCCCGGAGCTGCAGACATGGAACCCACACTCGGTCCCGGTCGGACTCGTTTTAATCTCCATGTTTCTGTAATATTGATGTCATAAGGCATAAGGCACTTGACGTTTGATGATGTTTTCTTTATAATAATGATAAAGAAAAAGGAGGTAGTTATACACACATCACATAGGTGCAGGGCAGTGCAGAAACAGCAAAACTGAGGCAATAAAGGCATTTTCACTGTACTACTGTTCTCTCCTGCTATGCCCCTATTCTCCAGTAGATGCCCTCGTTGAGCTTAAGATCACCTGTCCAGCACTACAGATGTTCTTCCTTGAACGAGCCATGCAGTATATCACATGCAGTGGAGTTGTATGTATACTGTTAACATAACATATCTATTTGGTAAAAGATAATTATTTGTATCTGAAGCTGCAGTACACAATCTGGAAAATTAAAAAAAACAAGAGTAGTGTAGATTTTTGAGTATCCAATCAGAGAAATGTCCTCTCTCACAAAAGCAGAACAAGTCCAGAGGAGAGAATCTAGGAGAGGAGCACTATGTATCGTTATCATTGAAACAAACTACCTTTCTCTGCAATCTTTGTGCAGCTATCTCATAGATGGAAGATGCCGCCCATGCAAAGAGAGTGTAACGAGCACACACAGGTAGGCAGGTATTTACATATTTACAGCCTGATAGAAAAAAAACAATTTTGGTCTGATCAACACTGTATGGGGGTTGAATTTTTTTATAACTTGTTTGGATTTTTTTAAGAATAAGAGTTATTCATAAGGAACATGGCTGATTTAAACGATGGCAGGGTGCAATGCAACGGTTGTCATGAGGTTTATAACCCGTCTCCTGGAATCCAGGTCATTAGGTTAACTGAATGTTGGGTTGAGACAGCATGTTCAGCATGGCGACCGCCATCCACAGGCTCCCAAAGCCGCCTGCAGTAACCAGTGGGTAACGTCATTCATGCTTTGTCCACTTTTAATAACATTCTACGATACCAGTGCATACAAGTTGGAGCGCAGCTTTCACCTGCCTCATGGCCTACAATGCTGTCCACCCCCCTGCAGGTGGTGGGCTCACAGTGTGGCAGCTTCATGTTGTTTCTTTGGGTTGAACCTGACCAGGCCCCATGAAGGAGAACCCGGACAACCAAACCAACTTGTAACTTAAAAACACAGGAGGGAGCATAAATAGCCAAATATTTTAAAATGTCACAACATTTAAGTGCTGCATTTAAATTGCTCAGTATCAAACAAAGGCATCAAAGAAACAAACAATAAAGCAAAGATCACAAGTTATGTCACACATCCATAACTCCAGAATTAACCTGATCTGTGGCACGTCGACTGCTGAGCTTAATTCGGTTGTGTATCAAAGACAGACACAGAGAAGAAAAAGTTCAATCACATGTATTTTTGTCCATGCCTTATTTATAGGCATTTTTGTCAGAGCAACTTAGCTACAACCTCTGTCAGGGTGATTAGGAGTGGTACTTAATTAGGGGCCCACGATATCTTAAAGTTAACATAGAGGGATAACCATTAAAATCACAAGCAATTGAAAGGGAGAGGAGAGAGACATAAATAATAATGAACTTAAAACATCCACCGTCCTTTACTAATAAGAGACAGCAAGAGATATATATAGATGCTGAATGTATAGATATTTAAGAATGTACATAAGCTTAAACTAGAGCAATTATGGCCTAGTCTGAATTTTGCAATGCAGGGTGATATCTCTGTAAATCAGCAATGACGTGATCATACTGACAGGCCTCTGTTAATGTTTCTCGGTTTACATAAAGATAGTATACCTCTCGTAAAGATTTAAAGGTTTAAACTCTGAGCAAGTTCTACAACCTGAATGCATCCCATGAAGTCTTTTAAACTGCGTGCTATCTTGAGCTGTAGAGCAGAAACAGGTCACAGTCACTGAAATCATGCCAGCATTCTGCCGATGAGCACATGAGCGGGCAGTCGAGCACGCCGAGCAGGCAGGATACTTCACCCCAAGTTAACCCCAAGTGTGACATTAAAGTTCAATGAATGGACTTTATGCTGCACATTTGACGGGATACACGAGCCACTGAATTTAATAAATGTAACCTCTTCTTAGTATAGAGTCCGGCTGTGCATGTCTTTTTTTTGATTAATCTTAAAATCTACCAAAAGCAGAGACCTGTAGTATACACTTACAAAGTTTCTCAACCTTTGAGTCAGTTTATTTTAACTGACTGTAACACTCTACATTTGTCTTTTATTTATCATGTAAATTTATACACACACAACAAAATAAACTAAACACCTCTGGACTTCTGATTTTTTTAACTTGTTTATTTATGAGTCAGATTGTGCGACTAGAGAGCAGTGCTCTCCTTCACTTTTCTCTAAAAAATAAATGAATACAAACCCATAATAGGTTAAAAAAAAAAGAAGAATCTTTTTGTGTTATTAAAGGTACTGATTGAAGTATCTCTTGTTCTGCTTACCTTCACGTGTAGCTTAAATTGAAAAAGATCATTTGCTGTGTTATTTTCTGTAAAATAAATGTTTTGTATGTATAACTGCATCTTCATTGTAC